TCTGCCTTTTTCCAAATAGGGCCACATTCACAGATTCTGGGAGTTAGCATTGTGGACAGATCTTCTGAGGGGCCACCAACCCACGACAGACCCCAAAGGCTAAATTTGCAGGGGTCCTCAAACTACAGCCCGCGGGCCACATGCAAATACAAATATTGTATTTGTTCCCATTTTGTTTTTTTACTTCAAAATAAGATATGGTCAGTGTGCATAGGAATTTGTTCATAGTTTTTTTTTAAACTATAGTCCGGCCCTCCAACAGTCTGAGGCACAGTGAACTGGCTCCCTGTTTAAAAAGTTTGAGGACCCCTGCAACCCTGATAGCATTTATTGCAGAAATAAGTTAAGTTAGGGTTTTTCAAAATGCTGACACGCCGAGCTCAAAAGGTTCGCCGTCACTGCTCTAGGGCAAGCATGTCAAACTCGCTGCCGGCGGGCCACATGCTTACTTGAGGGGGCTCCTTCCTGGTCTCTTCTCATTCCTGGCGGTCGCCGCATCCCTGGGCTTGTGGCCGCATCACTCCAATTTCCGCCGCCTCCTTCATGGGGCCCTTTCCTTCTCTGTGTTCTTTCTCTGTCTCTTTTTTAAAAAATATATATATATTTTATTGATTTTTTACAGAGAGGAAGGGAGAGGGATAGAGAATTAGAAACATTGATGAGAGAGAAACAGCGATCAGCTGCCTCCTGCACACTCTCCATAGGTGGTTCATAAGTCGAGGCTCAACCACTGGGCTACACCAGCCCGGTGGGAGTTCTCTTTATGCCTGACTTCAAAATCCCAAAACCCAATCCTTCCAATACAGCAACCTAATTGTTTCCCAGGGGAATTTCCTTCAGAAGATTAGCACTCTAGGGCGCAGTTAAAGTGGGGCTTGGCCCTCATTAGCTGTTGTCTGGGCAGGGGCATGGCTTAGCTTCTTGGGTTCTGGGCCACCTTCCTGTGAGGAATTTGGCAGAAACCATGGAGTCTGGTTTATGATTGGCTGATGTGACGGTTTGGGGCATGGTGCAGCGGTTCTCAACCTGTGGGTCGCCACCCCTTCACAGGGGTCGCCTAAGACCATGAGAAAACACATTACCTATTGTTCAGGGGTGACCAAGAGTCGCACTCATTTCCCCCAGTTCATGGGATTGCAAGTGTCAACCAACAGCTAATTGGGGCAGGGCGATGGGAAGTAACTGCTGAATGGGCAGGGGTTTATGGGGGGGGGTTGGAAAGTTCTGGAACTAGAGAGAGGTGATGTTGCACAACACTGCAAGCACTCAATGCCACTGCATTGTTCACTTTAACAGCGGCTCTTCATCGAAAGCTAACAATAGCTTCCCTCTGTGTGAACTGAGATAATGCGAGCAAAGTGCTTAAAATAGGGCTTGGGACACGGTAAACCCTCAGTAGCTGTAGGGCAACATGCCCACCACAGCTGCCAGCCCATCTCCCACTTACCTCCCAACGACCTGGGAGGCTTTAGCCCAGCCGTGGGCAAACTACGGCCCGCGGGCCGGATCCGGCCTGTTTGAAATGAATAAAACTAAAAAAAAAAAAAAGACCGTACCCTTTTATGTAATGATGTTTACTTTGAATTTATATTAGTTCACACAAACACTCCATCCATGCTTTTGTTCCGGCCCTCCGGTCCAGTTTAAGAACCCATTGTGGCTCTCGAGTCAAAAAGTTTGCCCACCCCTGCTTTAGCCAGACAGGGGGTTCCTCGGCATGGGGCACCCCACAACTCCGGTTGCAGCCGCCCCGCCCTCTGCGTTTCGGTGTCACCTTTTTTGGTGTGTGTGACAAGGACTGTGGGGAGCCAGCACCTTTGGCAATCCTTTGTTTTGCCAAGTAATTAGTGGTATGAATCTAAAAGGGGCGTTGTATCATTTTTTTAAATATATTTTTATTGATTTCAGAGAGGGAGAGAGATAGAAACATCAGTGAGAGAGAGAATCATTGATTGGCTGCCTCCTGCACACCCCCTACTGGGGACCGAGCCCGAAACCCAGGCATGTGCCCTTGACCAGAATCGAATCCGGGACCTTTCAGTCCACAGGCCAACGTTCCATCCACTGAGCCAAACCGGCTAGGGCTGTTGTATCATTATCAGTTCAGTCAGTCCCATCATGACCTTGGCCGTGTACCAAGTGTGTGGTCCTGACCATAAGTATTATGCTATTTCCTTTTTTGTTTGTTTATCCTCACCCAAGGATGATTTAGGGGGGAGGGGGAGAAAGAGAAACATAGATGTGAGAGACACATCGATTGGATGCCTCCTGAATGTGCGACTGGGGTCAGGGATCGAACCTGTAACATGCATGCAGCCTGGACTGGGAATCGGGAATCGAACCCTCAACCCTTCGGTGCGTGGATGGTTGCTCTAACCACTGAGAAACACAGGCCAGGGCTCTCTTTTTGTACATTTTTATTTGATTTTTTTTAAGGAGAGAAACATCAATTTGTGGCTCCACTTACTTATGCATTCAATGGCTGATTCTTGTGTGTATCCTGACCAGGGATCTAACCGAAACCTTGGGGTATCGGATAACACTACCCAACCTAGCTACCGGGCCAGGGCTGTTACTTCTATTATCATCATTCCCGTCTTTGGCCTAAGACTGCCCTCTCTCCAACTTCTCTCAAAGACCAGACACAGACTGAAGAAATTCTTCATTTTATTTCCACCACACCTCCCCCCCCACACACACACCCCAAGGATCACTCCCTGCCCTCCCTCACCTACACAGAGCCCCGCCCCAACAATTTCACAAAACACTGCATTCCTCCCAGAGCTAAATGAACACCCAGTCACCAACTATGGTCACACCGGCCTCCCCATCTGCCCTCACAGCCACTGGCTCTGTGAACGGGGGCTCCCGGCACCAATGTATTTCCCAGGGTCACCTGGCTTGCTTTTTTTTGCTTAATGATGTGGGTGTCGATCTTAAAACCCTCCCTGTCTTTTCCCCAGAGGGCTCTCCCCTCTTCATCTGCCCTCACTCTGCACAGCTTCCCGGCCTCACTGCCCTGCTGGACAGACCCTGAGCGACCCGGGGCCCCAGTCCCTCAGCTGTCACCTGAGAAGTGTTGATAGTGACTAAAGCCAGACGTGTCATGATTCTGGGGAGGGAAGAAGGGAGCAAAATCAGAAACCGACAAGGACACAAGGAGAAAAGGAGAGCGATGTGGGGGATGGAAAGAGGCAGAGGGATGACAGAGGGACCCTCCCACCTCAGCCCCTGAAACCGAGGTGAAGACCAGCGCCCCCTACAGCCCCAAGCCCTGCCCAGCTAGCAGCTGTGGGTCCTCTGGCTTCGAGCCTTGTACACCTCGATGAGCAGGTCCTTGACGTACTGGATCTCCCGCTCCACGGACTCGGCCCTCTCCCTCAGCTCGCGGTTCCGCGCCTCCAGCCCTTGGCACTCCCCCTCCAGGGCCTCCCCCTCTGCCCGCTTCCTCTGGCGGTACCTCAGAGCCGCTGACTTGTTCTGGTCTCTCTTCTTTTGCTTGCGGTCCC